GTGGTGTGTGTGTGTGTGTGTTTATAACAGCAGTAACACATGAGCCATGGTGCAAATGTGAAGGTCAGAAGACCCCCTGTGAAATTGGTTCTCTCCTTCTACTTTGATTGGATTGCAGGGATTGAACTCTGGTCTCTAGGTTTGTATGGTTTGTGCTGAATGGCTCTAGCAGGCCTGGGCTTGGCAAACAGGCCCTGGCAGGCTTTGCCCTCCCCCCTCCCTCCCCCTTGTAAACCATAGATTATATACCTAAAGCTAGCCATCAAGGTCTATTCCCTTATTTGGACACTTTCTTATGCCAGGCTCATTCCTGAGGGTGACCACCAAAATCCATCAATCAAAAGCCCCCTTTGGTTCACCTAATTAAATGCCCAATGGAAATAACCCACCTCATGCCAGCCCATTCTAACACAGACATCTCCTTTTTCTCTCTTCTTAAAAATCACACCTGCAAGGTCACCTGCTGCTGCTCTTCTGCCTGAGTCAGAAAGCAGCCACTTTAACTTTTCTTCCCCGCTTAACAAAGGATCTTTCTGTGATAGCAGGTGTTTGGATGTGGTTTGTGCTTAGTCCAGGCAGGGGAGGGAGCTGCTGCTGTGTGGGAGTTTCTTCACACGCCCTTATCTGCTGAGCCATCTTGCCAGCCCATGCATCTTAAGTTCAAGAGAAAAGTTCCCCACAGAGGAGAAGAAAGGAATTCCTTGTGCTTATGTGGCATCTGACAACTTTCAACCCTGAGAATCATATTTCTCTGCCCCAACTCATCTGCACCATAATGGACTTGACTGCAGGACTCTAGAGGGCTCTCTGCAACTGTGTCAGTTCAAGGTTAAGACCCCAGAGTTATCAAACGCTCTAGTCATTTTGTGCCCCGGTGCCTCAGTTTCTCCCTCATTACACCCCTAGCTGACTGGTAATGCACCAGGAATGAATGCTGAGTGGGATCTGTTGTTTATGAAGCTGCTGCTGCTGCAGCCCTTGGGGCAGGGGTGGGGGATCTTCCCGTTTTTCTCTTATTACATTTTTACCCATTGCTCACAAACGGCACACGGAGGCCCAGTACAAACACTGACATCCAAGCCCTGAGCCCCAAGTTTGACCCATGGAAAGAGGAAGGAGAGAATGCCTCCACAAAGTTGTTCTCTCATCTTCAAGTGTGCACCAGGCCACAGACCCGCCCGCACCATGTCATATGCTGGCCGGCACAAACACATACAAGATAAATAAATACATGTAAAAAAAAGAAAAGAAACAAAACATCACAGAATAGCAACATTATTTCAGAAACAGTGTAGGGGGGGTTGTTTGTTTGTTTATTGAAATGGAGTTTCACTATGTAGCCCTGGCTGGCCTAGTAGAACTTGCTAGGTAGATTCAAGATGGCTTGGAAGTCACAGAGCACCTGCCTCTGCCTCCAGAGTGCAGAGATTAAATAAAGGTGTGTGCCTCTTAGACCAAACTTGGACCCATATTTAAACCTAAATTTCATATCAGAACCCTAGAATATGGACTTGGGGGACCTCACTGGATCTCTTCCTCTTCTCATTGTGACCACATTGAATAAATTTCTTTTTCTGCTTTTCACTAGTGAAATGGAAAATACAGTGTAGACCATGGGGCTCTCATGACTGACAAAAACAATTATGGTGGGGTAAGGGGAAATGAGACTAGAATGATGGAAATTCTATCTATTTTATAGGAAAAAAACAATAAAAATACTATGAAAGGAAGAATATGGCATCCAGTTTTTGAGAGCAGTTTATTCAAGTAAGCAGAGGACAGATTTGTATTTCCTCTCTGGCAGGCTTTTGCAAAAGAAGGAGCCAAAGTCATAGCCACGGACATCAATGAGTCCAAACTCCAGGAGCTGGAAAATTACCCAGGTGAGCAACTTGACTGCAGGTTCAGAATTGGCCCCGTATTAGAAAGCAGAGATACTGAGCATGGGAAGCAAGCTCTAGCTGCCCCAGGCACCTGTCTCTTAGAGTCTAGCCCCTTCATAAAAAGTCTGTGTTCTATGATCTACAGAACGTAGTCTATACAGGCAGAAGCGTGAGGGGGGAAATCTAGGGGACATACTTCAGGTTTTCTATTGCACAACTTGTTGAGGGATTTTGCTCCCAATTGCAAAGTTCTGTGAGAATTAACAGCTGACTGGTTAACTATTAATGACGGCTTCACCGCTGCTCGTGACTCCTCTGGTGCAGCCTTGTCCGGAAGAACATGATACGATCCTCTTGTGTTCTTGCAAAAAACGTTTGTAGCCCGATTAAAAGCTAACAGGCACAGTGGGGAATGTGTTGGTCTTTCGATTGTTTATCTTTTGCATTTTATCATTACTTTTTGTCTTGCTGGAAGGAAAATGGAGACATTTCATGAAAAAGTGGGACCTACTGTATAGCACAGAAATTTTCATCTTACAATTTTCTTAAATTTTTATCTTAAGTGTGTGGTTGCTTTACTGGCACCAAATGAATGCAATACCCGTAGAGGCCAGAAGAGGGTGATGGAGCCTCGGGAGGTGGCGTTACATGCCGTTGTTAACCACCACAAAGTGCCAAGAATCAAATCCAGATGGTCCAGGAAGGACATCTTTAGAAGGGATTTTTAAAAGATGTATTTTATTCTTTATTTTTGTATGTGTGTGAGCGTGTGTATATGTGAGTGCGCACAGAGGCCAGAAGGAGGTGTAAGATGACCGACCCCTCAGAGTTGCAGACATCTGTCAGTCACCTAATGTGACAGCTGGCATATGAGCTCCATCCTCTGGTAGAGCAGTGAGTGCTTTTAGCCACTGATCCATGTCTCCAATCTAAGATTTGTGCATTTTCATGACACTCCTGAGATGGCTAAAACACCGGTGATGGCTACGAGTCCTAGGCGAACCACATGGGAATGCTACATTCCTCACACTTCATACCACAAAACAGCCAAATCTTCACGGCTACTTATTTTACAAATTCTATATGAAACTTGCCTTTTGTTTTATTCTTCAGGTATTCAAACTCGAGTCCTCGATGTCACAAAGAAGAAGCAAATTGATCAGTTTGCCTCAGAAGTTGAAAGAATTGATGTTCTCTTTAATGTTGCTGGGTAATTTAATTTTTTTTTATTTCCCTCTGAGAAAGTTTTCTGATTTTATTAAATGAATGTTGATAGGATAAAAGAGTGATTACTAGACAAAACATGGCATATTTCTTGGGAAGATGTCACACATCACTCAGCAAGCGAGACAGCTATGTCATTGGACGTGAACTTGGGGCCGACAGGCAATTAAAGCTGAGGAAGGGAGTGGACACTGATGCAAAATATGGAAAGCAAGCAAAGCAGGGGTTCCTGGCGTTTCCTTTCGTAAATGATCTGCTTATCCTTCTCCGGGGCTGTTTCTGGAGACATAGCTATTGGTCTGTGAGCATCCATTCAGTCTTTGGCAGGAGACAGTGTGTGGTTTCTTGGTACAGGAAGCGAAGTGAGTGACAACCAGAAGTCCTGTAGTACGTGGGAGCCATTCCCTACTACATCTTATATTTAACTATGGAGTCTCAGTCTAGAGGACCAAGTCTGTAAGGACGCCATGTTCAGGAAGTGTCCTTGAGGAAGAGTGGCTTGCTAGGGGGCAAGGTTGATTTTAGGGTCCTGTTTGTTCTTCCTCCTTTGCGCACTGTGCCAGATGGAAACAGCTGCCATGTTCCTTCACTACACTGATATATGAGGGTTTGTGCATTGTGCCAGAAGCAAACAGCCACAACATTATTTCTCCACACGATATTTGGAGACACTGCTTTTCCTTCCAGTTTTGATTTCCCTGCAGAACTTTAGCCACCTGAGGGCACTGTCATCTTGGGAACAGGAATCAAATGGAACAGCTGTCCTCATTCGTTTTCTGTTTTTAAAGCACTAGAGTTCCAAAGCCCTTGGTATTGAGATTCTTACGTTTGGCAGCTCCTGCTTTCTTCTTTCAAAAGGATGATTGAAGGTTTTGTTGTTGTTGTTTTGCTTTACTCCTTTTTCTTTCTTTTTGTGTGTGTGTGTGTGTGTGTGTGTGTGTGTGTGTGTGT